ATAAAAAATAAAAAGAACAAATGACATCACATTTACATCAGCGGTGATGTCACAGTGTTCAACATGGTTTGTCCGCCTCAGTCTGAGTTTAGTAACAACAACAACGGGGAGAACAGGTCCTTTAATGTCTTTACAGACGGTTAGAAAGACTAAATATGAACATGTAAAACAAACATGGCCGCCGGGAGGTCACCTGAAGAGGAGGAGGAGGAAGAGGAGGACGCAGGAGAGAGGAGGACGTTTTTATTTTATATACTCTGTTTGATCTTTGTTCAAGTTTTGATCAGAATATGGACACGGAACGTTAAAGGAAAATAAACTGAAAAGTTGTAGTAGGAAACAAAGCGTCCACTGGAGCTTTTACAGTCACTAGAAGCACATTCACGCTGTTTGTAAAAGTTTCTGTGTGGTACTTGTGTTGTAACGTTAGCTGTGCTAGCGGCTCAGAGCTAACTGAGCTAACTGAGCTAAGCAGCCGCTGTGAGACTCTTTGCGTCCGTGCTGGACACACGTCTGTGAAGGTTTCTGTGAATTGCTTGTGTTGCAACATCTGCGGTACAGTGTCATAAATTGTTCACACTAACTACCGGAACAGTGCGTGTACGTGGCGGAACGTCTTGCTTATTACCGCTATTTCAGCGGCCATATTAACTGATTAAAGCAGTCACACTGCCCGCCCAAGTCGCACGCCTCAGCTGCAGCAACACTTCACTGGAGAGTCGAGGTCTCACCTATTTCCAGCACAAATACAGTGAAAATGTTACGTTCACAGTCATATCGTCATTATACCGGCAATATGTACACCTTTAAGTACAGTTTCAATGTATATATCTGTAGAATGTGTCACAGACATGTAACACCTCGTGGTGTTGGGTATTTATCCAAGGCAGGCTCAGTATAGAAAGATAGCAGCTCTGCAGCAACTGTGTGCCACACGCTGCTCAGGTAGGCAGTGTGAGCCGAGGGTCAGGCTGCAGTCTGCAGAGTCCAGACGTTGGTTTTATACCAATTGTATATTGTAAAATTCAATGGCAATAGTCGGCTTTCAGTCAGGTAGAGGGCGGTTGCTATGCATTTTTATACCAAAATATGTAAAATTCAAATACTTTGCACTAAAATGTCAAGATTTGGACTCTGAATGAACAACACCAGTGAATACCCATGTACAGAGATTTTTAGCAGAAAAAAGTGGTTTGGGGGTTTAGTTAATCTTTAATGACAGATTTGGGATGTCAGTTTATACAATTTATAGATGGACGTTCATAATGTAAAAAATCTGTACTGAATAAAAATAAATACTAAATATGTTATGACAATATTCACAACATATATTTAGTATTTATTTTACATACAACATATTCCATGCATAAAAACACACACAGCACCAGTTTTTATTTTATTTGCCACCAATCATTAGGTTTTCTTAAAGTAACAAGGATTGTTTATTTTCTGTTGCTTCTGGCACCCTGTGGACAAAAGTGGTAGAGTTTCATTGATTTCCTTGGAAACCCAACCCAGTAAAAAAGCATTTAGTTTGTTTCATGATCAGTTAAAAACTCCTTGTAGTAAGTTTAAAGCTATATATATATATATATATAGTGACTTTCAGCTTATTAAGGTCTGTAAATGTTTTAAGAGAAAACACTGAAATACAGCATTTAAATCAAAGGTCAACATATTCCACTGTCAAATCGGACCTCTAGTTTCATCAGAAAGGGAGGGGAGAGAGACTGTATTATAGTACCATGTATACCTAATTTTACAAAGTGGGAAAACTACAGAGCTCAGATCTCTCCAGCATAATTCAACACATTAAAAACTCAAAAGTTCTAAAGTTATATTGAAAAGAAATTCACAGGAACATTTTTTTTTGTACTTTTATTTAACTTTATTTCACAATTTTATGCCATTTATTGTGTTCTTTGTTATAATACCACACACAAATGTCAACTGGCTAAAACAATATAAAACATAACTTCCACAATTTCATTATTTATATTATGTACATGCACTCATATATTCAGAGGCAAAAAAATCTCAGGCCTTTGTTTACTCTCAAGTGCACTTTCATCTGTCTTCCTTGCTGGTTGAGAGGCCATTCCAATGAGGATCCTTCAGCTTCTGTTTGCCAGATCAACTTGAAGATTTAACAGCTTTTTGATTTATACAGGTGTGTGTTCATTTTGTAAGCATTATGGGAAAAACATAACTCCAAGTGATGCTATTTCTAATCGGTTGAAAGCCAAAAACGAACACACAGCAACCGTTTTTGTTTACTTTTACCATGAAACTCGTACTATAGCATTTCTTTTTGGGAAGCAGATGACGTGCTGGTGTTGAATGTGCATGAAGTGCATAAACCGTCATTGAAAAAATACTTTCGCTCCCAGTTGGATTCACAAAAAGAATCTTAACACTAAGCTTACCTCAGCTCCACTGCAATAAAGGATGATTTAAACTCATCGGTGGAAGCAAAACCCTGACCCGTGTGCTCCATTTTCCACCCGTAACGCTTCCCTTCTTTGAGGTGGACGGAGCGCCACTTCCTACATACGTAACTGCCACGGTTTAGCTTACAACCAAAGTATAAGTGCCAGGATTGTCTTTTACCTGAATTTGACGTGTTGATGGTGTTCTTTTGATGCTTTTCTGGAAACTCAGATGTGATGGATGCGTAATAGGAACGAAACAAGGGAATCAAGAGCACAATGGGTGGATTGACTTCCATTGGGCGTTTGACTGCTTTGTCCCCAGTTCATTCCCATACTCATGAAACACTATCTACAATACTTGTGGGGTTTGATGGTTTGATAAAAACTGGAAGGTTTAGAATAAGCGAAATCTCCTCCTCTGCCACAACAGACTAAACATTACACAGAGAGTGGTTTGGACATGAGATCTTATTTCTACAGCTCTGCCGATACATTAGCATGACTTACAGTATTAATGAAGGCATGAGTGAGCGGAGCCGCACTCATGACAAAACTGGAGATATGGATTATACAAGAGTTACAAATAGCAAAGGTCCGTGTTGACAGCAGAGTTCTAGGATCATCAGCTATGCATTAAAAATGCATCAATATTTCTTGAAGAGGTAACATTATGATCATATTGAACTTTTGTTGTTTGAAGAAAGAAAGAAAAAGAAAAACAGGCTCACTTGCCACCTGTGTAGTAGTATAATAATACTCAAAACTGGATTCTTATTGGAGTGGTCCTTCAGGCGCTGCCTGCCTCCTGTTTGTATCCTCCATCAGTTCAGGCTGCTCAGGCGGGACAGAGGACGGCTCTCCTCTCTATGTGGGGGCAAACTTCTTGGCCTGTGCCCTTACCCGCTTCTCATAGTCCATCCTGTTCTGACTGAAACACAAAAACACCAAGAGGCAAAGACATTGTTAACCATGCTGATGCTAGTTACATGTTTATTTAGAGCTTCCATTTGCAACACATCGGTGTATAAAGTGCTGAAACAACAGGAGACGTTTCTTTCTTCTTTTGTGTTACGACAGGCGCTGCCCTGAGAGTGCCTGAACGAAAATCAAATCACAACTTCAAGTTTAAGAAATGTCTAAAAAGACTTATGACGAGCCAAGGTTTTTACTTACCAGTAAATTGTGTAAGCCTCTGCTTGTGCTGGGTCTTGAATGTTGGGCTCATTCAGCAGCTCCTGGATACCCAACAGGATCTGAAAAACACAGTCAACAATCTACCAGTCAGTCTGCAGTCAGTGTGATTATCTACTGGTTCATTTAAAACCATGTGCATTCATTCCCTTACTGCAGAAAAACAGTTACAACACAAAGATGTTATATTCAGAAGTCATATGGTAAACAAGTTATCAATTAAAACAACCACCTCCACTGTTGAGTTTTAGACAGAGACTGTGGATAAGCGAGTGTTCACACCTGTTTGATGGTGATGGCAGGCCTCCAGTCTTTGTCCTCCTCCAGGATCGACAGACACACTGTGCCAGATGGGTAGACATTCGGGTGGAATATTGGTGGCTCAAACTTGCCTGAGTGGAAATCAGTGAAAAGAAAGTCAGAACTTTAAAGCTTGAAGAAAGCCTGACGTGGAAAAATGAAAAAATTCAATTACATGGTGCAATTAGGTCATTGTAGAAAACTGTCATTACCTGAAGTTTTTCATTCAATATCTCTAAAACACAAGAGGATTTATAAAAGTGCTGTCATTCTTTCCATGACAAACAATTTACCTCACATCCTGATTGCAACGTCTCTTCAACAACTCATCTGAATATCACTTTAGTAACAGGGACACTGATGTCCCACTGGAGGCTAAGCTCAATAAGGTTTTTATTTAAGAATGGAAAAGTAGCACTGCACCATCACACTCATCAATTAACTAACCAGAATTATCATGCAATATTAGCACGCAACATACAACATGTGTTTTTTTAATTGAAAGCACCATCAAGGAATTCTGGGATCGACATCCTTGACTGACATGTCAAACATTTACACAAGTGTAGCTCAATGTGTGGCTTAGAAAATAGTTGATAGTTTTAAAAAATAGTTTTCTACATTCACAGAATCCAAAAGCAGTGAGTTAAAGAAAGATGTTTTTGCATGGATCTACACAAAAATTTTGAATTTCTTTTGCTCAAGGTTCATTGTTTACTGAAGGTGGTACTGACTGAACCCTGGTGTACAGACTTTGTTTTTTCCTGAGCTTTTCCTACTTTGCTTTGAAGAAACAGCTGCATGTAAATTTCTGCCCTTCAACAGAGAGTGAAACTATGGGGAGGTACTCACATTTTGGTGGTGAGGAAGGGTAGTCGTCTTTGAACAGCATTCGGAGTTTGTAGAGTCCTCCCTCCCACAAAGTCTTATGAAAGAACAAGGAAATAACACGGTTAAATTCAACACTTCAAGAATCTCATTTTAAGACATTTGAAAAGGCATAAAATTCTGATTATTGGCATTTAAACTTTTTAAGACCCTGCAGACACCCTAAATTACTGCTTTCAATGAGGACGTCATTTAATTTTTATAATAATTTAAAAAGAACTAAACAAAGTAAACATACCTAGAAACATTGGCTTAATGAAATGTGGAGCCAGAGTAAAAAGAAATATGGACATTAGGTAACAAATTTTACACTGAAAGTGAAATTAGACATAAATGTGGATTTTTGTCTCCCTCTATGTGATGAACAAAGGTTTTTTTTCCTGCATGTTTTGCTTAAATAACAAGTCAACACTCAAACTATGAACTTTCTCCTCCTTTCATTTCCAAAAGTGTTTTTCTAGCATTAATTAGGCCAAAAGATAAAATGAGCCTCATGCAATAAAAAACGTCTCGCTTGTGTCATCTGAGTGTCGTATTTGTTGTGTTTGGCTGGATCTAAACAGGCAGTCACTTGCAGTAATTACTCATATAACGTTAGTCCGGTCGTCATTACAAATTCATGACACAGATATGGAAGAATAAGCTGCAGTGTGTTGTTTAATGTTTGTTCAACGTGCAGAATTACCTACACCACAATAAAAAAACAATCTTGTGACAACTTGCAATTACATGCATGTCAGTATATATTATCATTTTCTGTCTACTAGGTTCATTCACTATATGGAAGTGCTACTCCACTTACTACTGTACTGTATTTATTATTGTTGGTATGTTTATTTTACTTTGGAATACTGAGCACGGCTGTTATTGCTATTATTGTTATTATTTGTAAAATAATTTGAATAATAATAATAACTTGTAATTACAGAAATCCTGAAAGCAAGTGTCCAAGCAGTGGTTCAAAGGGTTCGAGTGGTAGAGTTGGTGAGATTTGCGAACAGATTCAAGACTATATACAATAGGCAGCTATGGAAAGGGCCTAGTGCTGGTCATACAGGAGATGTGTGGAAGTATCACTTTGATGTGTGGCCGACTCTGTGCCAGAAGGAAACTTACTCCTTTCTTCCCTGGGATGGCACACTCCCAGTTCATCAGATTCATGGTGCCATCGGGGTTCTTCGTAGGCACAGCAACAAAACCCTGTGTGGTGGACAACAGACACAAAACATCAGTGGACAACCTGACCTGTCCCTGAACTGTAATCTACTACTCATAAACACGTGGGGAACTAATTCTAAGAAAAGGGGGGCAAATAAAGTTGATAGTGAAACGAGGATGACTCACAAATGGGTGGTCTTTTCTCCAGGCTTTGCGCTCCTGGGACAGTCTGCTAAGAGCGATGCCAGACATTGCTGCTCATCAACGCCTCCCTGTGGAAAAACAACCCAAAACAAATTAATTATTCAATTCGAGCTGTCCCAAACTAGTAACACAGCCCCAAATGTTTCCTCTGAAAACTGAGTCGTACATGTTGGTCATGTACGAGACACCACCGACATTGATTTAACGTTATTTGTTGTGCGACCGGTAGAAACTTACAAAGGTAACTTATCTACTGCAACAGCCCTCAAAGGTAAAAACGACCTAGCACGCTAACAGACGACAGACGGCCACCTTTCATCTGGACTTACCTCTTAGTTTATTTGGCTAACTATCAGAATTACGTGGGTTTGAGGACTGACGTTAGCTCGGTGGCTTCGCTAACGCTAACTGCTGTGTTGACGGCGACCGTAAAGAAAAACACACCCTTCGACGTTGAACACCAAAGCTACGGGACCAGTTAGGACGTAAATGTACACACCGAAAGAAACTGCGATTTTATAAACATTCCCCCAAACACTCTATTCGGCATATATTGGTGTTATTTTTGGATAATTTACCACACTTGTGTAAAACAATGTGACTCGTAGTACCGCTTCGACAGCTAGCCTATTGCAAGAAAGGACCCCAATTTGTTTATTTCGGTAGGACCTTCAGGCACTTTACGGGACAACCGAGTGACACACGTCACTGCTGGTCGGCCATCTTTGTTGTGGCGTTCGCAATGGGCAGTTCACGACTTCGGAGGAGTCGATCATTTTGAGTCATGTTTCCCTGAAATGAATCAGCCAGGGTGCAAACTAGTAAAGTCCTAATAAACCGTTGAGCTCAGCTGAAAACATGATTTGTTAAATTTTATAGGGTCTCTTAAATGTTGCCCCATGCATTTAAGAACCTCTCAACTTTAGGAAGCAGATGTGATTGTCAGCATCCATGTTAGTGATAAAATGCCTGATTTTTAAATGGAGTTTGGTCTGCAGAGGTATAAAGTTTTTTAGATTTAAGAGTAACACTGATGTAGTTGAAGCAGATGTGATTTTTCTGTTTTGTAGTCATCAATCAAGGAGTCCATCAATCAAGTACCCCCCCTGTAAGAAAAAGTGAGCTCCCCCCGAAAGCTGTTATATAGTTTGCACACTGGAATCACCTTTCACTTCCCTGGTATTTGTAATATTTGGATTGTATATATACAATATGTGCACTATTATTAATGTTATTTAAAGGTCCAGTGTGTAACATTTAGGAGGCTCTTTTTTGGCAGAAATTGAATATAATATTCATAGGTATGTTTTCATTAGTGTATACTTCAGGTGGAAAAATAGTAGCAATTTTGTTATAGTAGAAGGAGATATCGTAGTTCCTCCTACACACTTCACAGCCTGTTTTTATTCTCAGGCTGTCAAATACCAACGCGAGCGGTGTTCAGTTACAATCTGCAATTTTTTCATATCCTACACGCTGGTCCTTTAAGTATATGGGACTTCATACAATTAGCCTATCATTACATTTTAAAGTCATGATCAGTGTGTAAATCCTGAAAAATATAGGCTTACCTTTATCAGCTTTTAATGATAATACTTTACTAAAGATACTACAGCATGTAATAGGGCTACAATGGTGTGACCTTGAGAAGGCTTCAGAAAAATACAATGTAAAATACATTATCATCATGTATAAGATCAGTAGCACCTCCACCATTCAGTACTTTTGCATTGCTACAATAGTTTATACTGTCACATTATGCATATGGAGATGACTTGTGCATCAGCGGAGTGAGTGTTTGAAGCTAAATAGATGTTAACACAGCTGCTGTCAGTCACAGAGTGGTAGGTTTGATGTATTTTAGGCAATATGCACCCCTGCAGGTAAAGTAAGCAAAGTCCACAGCTCGAAAAGAATTGTTCAAAATGAGTTGTTCGTTCTCTTTTGCCCACTGATAATGCTCTTTTGTTCTGGTCTGTACAGTTTGCTTTTTTTTTTTTTACCTCAGTGGAACATAGCAACAGCTGACAGCATAAACAGTGGTTAATATAACTTAATACTCGTTATGTTTACCAATTCAAAGATGAACAAGGCCAAACTGCTTGTAACAAAAGACGACTCTGCAGGTTGGAATAAGTGCACAGCTTTCACTGCAATCTTCTCAGCCACTTCAAAAATGGGACACTTGCTCAGCAATTTATAAATTATTTTTGTACGCATTTCCAGCCCCGTATGAGTTAAATGTTGTACATTGTAAAACCAACATGGCAACTAAACAGAAGCTAAAATACATAAACTTTGTTTTGAAAATCGGGCATCTTGCCAGACACCTCAAATCAAGCACTGGAACCGGACTGAACTGGTTTTGATTTCCTCTGCGTCAGCATCCCAAATTTTTTTTTTATGTGTTGTATTGCGTCTCGGCAAAAGCTGCAGTCTTTTTGTGGGACTATTATCTGCTTCCCTTTTTCACACTACGTTATATTCCCTTATTCAACATGTAACTTTGCAACAAATACAAATTGTATAAAGTAAAAATACAATTGCAAAAACATTTTGACTCCCACTGAAATCAGCATAAGACTGGAAGAAAAAGACAAAAAAAATATTAAAATTGGTCGATCAATATTTCTGCTGTCTATAGTATTTTGCCCCTCTGTCTTCCACGGCTCAGGCTAAATATTTACTTTTCTGTTTACTGAATAAATTAGTTTTCCTCAATTTCATGAGCTTAACATGTTTTAATGGGGGGGAGGGGTGACACCCTACCTGTATGTAACATAAGAAAACAAGAACCTCAAGCATCCATTTATTGTAACATTTGTAAAAGAATTCAATATATCCATCTGACCTCCTCCTATCAAAAAAGTGCAGTTCTTCCAAGAATCAAAAGTCCCCTGGCCTAACAATGCTGAACCTTTTAACATTTCAAACATGTTGAGATAAACTAGACAGAAACATGTTACATCATGGTAGTGTAAACTTGTCTAAAATAACGGAAAGTTAAATAAGTTGCATAGTGTAGAAGATATTTTCATTAAATGTTTGTGATGAAACTGTTGAGTTAGTGATTAGGTTTCACAACAGCTTGCTGTGCAACCCGCTCACGGCTTGTACTATCTCCTTAGTATTAGCAGAAAGTACATTATAAGGCTAGTTACTCTTGATCTATCACCCTTGCTGACAGCAAACACACTGCTTTCCCTTGTAAAAGTATCATCACATCCTTGGTTGTGCAAGTCCACTGCCTTTCCTCCTCCATTCACAGCTTCTTTCCTTCTCCCTCTGAGAGGATGTGATCCGGAGAAGCCCTTTTGAACCATTCAGACCAGGAGCCGTCATAAACACACACCCCGGGGTGTCCCAGCAGGTGAGCCGCCAGAACAACATGACACGCTGTGACACCAGACCCACAGGAAGCCCAGAGTGGTTGCTCCAGGTCCACCCCTGCCTCCCTGAACAGTCTGGATAGGCCCTCGGTTCCCAGCTCCTTCCCAGAGTCATCCATGAAAGAAGTGAATGGCATGTTGACGGCACCGGGGTAATGGCCCGGCAGTGTGTCTGTGAGGGTGAGACAGGGGGGTGGTAAGCCAAAAAAAAAAAAGAGAGAGAAACACTCAAAGTTAAATTACTATTTTTCCTTCTAGTGCTTTCAGACATATCTAATGGCTTTCATCAGCAGACGGTTTGATGATGAAGATCATTAGATGTGGCTGAAAGCCCCAGAGGAAATCTACCTTGAGTAAATAATTTTTACTACAAACTACTGGTGATACGAGCTTGACATTGAGCTTGATGTAACTGCAAAACAGCAATTTGTACACATTTATAAATATATAATATATAAAGTTACACATTTTACACAAGCAACCTGTCAGTATTGACTATCACAAGATTATATACGCATCACATACATATGAAAGCAACCATGCATAATAATAATAATAATAATAATAGAAATACAGACAAAATTCTGACCTCTGTTGACTAAGAACAGGCTCTTTTTGTTTTGTTTGAAAACTATAATCCTGCTCACCCTCTCTGGGCTCCGGCTCAGTCCCCCTGAACCTCCCAGCAGACCTTGCGTCCACCATCTGGACCTGCTTGGTTTTGATGTTCTCCAGCACGTCCTCGTAGCTCTTCACCCACGACTGATTCAGGGTCGCCTTGAACTCTCTACGCTCCGGTTTGGAGTACTCAGACGCCACCGGGTAGCCGTCAGCCAGCCAGTTCCTCATGCCGCCGTCCAGCACCGACACCAAACTGTGTCCGAACAGCCGGAACATCCACCACACCCGGGGCGCGCTGAACGAGCCGAAGCCGCTGGTGTCGTACACGACTACGTGCGTGTCGTTGCCGATGCCCAGACCCCCCACATACTGCGAGAAGTGGCTGGAAGTTGGCAGCATGTGATCCAAAGGAGAGGTCTTGTCACAGCACTCGTCTATGTCAAAGAACGAGGAGCCCGGTATGTGCTTCTGCGCAAACTCCGCTCTCGGGTCCCGTTTCGTTTTGGGTAGGTACCACGAAGTGTCCAGAACCCGAAGCTTTGGCCCGAGCAGGTTGTTCCTGACTGCATCTACTAGCCACTGAGCTGACACCAGAGCCCGGGTCTGTGCCGCCATGATGAGGCTCTGTGATATAATACAGGCTGCGAGCGCTAGAGGGAAATGTTTGTGCTCTTTAAAGGAGAACATGGGAAGTTAAACATTTGGGAATTGTACGGCCGCGGTGAACTTTGGATGGTCAAGATGTACAAACAACAGAGCAGGATGCACACGTTCTTCTATCAACTTTTAATAAGAATCCATTGTGAACATAAGAAAATAGACTTTTATAATTATATTTAAATCACATATAAAAAAATAAATGATTCAGCTTTATTATCTGAAGTAACAGTGAAGTGTAGGATATGGCAGGCAGCACCACAGAACACCAACACACACCGACACACACACACACACACCAACACACACACACACATATAAGTGCTGCATTTGTAAAACTGGACTTCTGGAAGTCTGCCAAGGCACATCTTTATAAACTGCACATCTGCTAAAGCACCAGCAGGTTGTGCCATATTTCTTCAAAAGCTCATAAAGAGCAAGCACTAGAGTGGGAAAATGCTTTTCAGACACATTTAGTTGGATTATTACAGTTAAGGGGCTGGAAAACTGCTCAAAATACACAGTTTTTATAGAATGGTATTAAAATAATGGGAATAAAAGGCTTGTAAAAGAGGCCCAAAGATAAACAACAGGAATATGAAACTACCCTTTTTAGCGCCATCTTCACAAGGTCCTAAATACTGACAATACTGAGGATTAATTCAGGGCAACCGTTGTTTCAACATACAAGAAAATTAGTTCAATCCAACAAAAATACGCTCAGACCTGCGTCCATACTGCCAACAAACAGTCCATTATCTAGAGGCTGGGTTCGCATTCAAATAAAGCCTATGTGTTAAATCCACACGCAAATCCTCCGACAAGCTTCCACAGACATTTCCATTCACACAGCAGATTTTAGGTTTATATCTCTGCTTATCTCAGATATGATCAATCAATGACCTGGTGAATCAACCAGTCACATAAAGTGATTGTTTAATGCTGATTTGTAAATTTAACTCTGCCACTTAAAACTCGTCTGCCTCAGAGCTTGCTTTCGACCTCGGAGACGACGTGCTCTGGCGGGGCCTTGGTGAACCACTCATACCAGGATCCGTCGTACACAGACGCATCGGGGGCGCCGCACAGATGGGCAGCCAGCACCAGATGACAGGCAGTCACACCGGAGCCACAGGATCCACAGATTGGCTTATTCAGGTCCACTTGTGACTTCTGAAAGAACTTCTTCAGCTGCTCAGGAGAGAGCATCATGCCATCTTCATCGACAAACCCGAAGAAAGGCATGCATTTGGAGCCAGGGATGTGACCCGGTTTGACACCTGTGGGACGATGACACAGTGGTTTACCTTTTTGCACACACCTGTAGCACAGTTAAGTATATAGAGATGTCAAAAGTCCCATTGTCTTTAAAAAACAGAACAAAAAATACTAAGGATATATCTGTATATGAAACTTTTTTTGTTGTTGTTGTTGCTGTTGTTGCGCCCCCTGTGGATAAACGCAGTAGTGTTTCGACCACCTTGTGTCTTTGATTGCACTGATGGTCTGGTGTGCTTTTAGATCATATAGAGGCATTTGTATTAAACTGAGACTATTTCAAAACCAGTTAAAACTCCTTGTAGTAGGGCTGCATTTGTCTGTTGCTTACTTATAAATGATCATTTAATGTTAAAGTTTGCACAGTCTCACATCCCAGTTTTTTCAGGGGCTTTAAATTAAGTTTATATGAAGTTAAGTTGACGAAGTTTTCAGCTGGATATGACTGCAGTAGGCCAACATAACAATAATGCCAGTGACAGTGATCTACAGTGACTTCTGAATAAATTGGTACCTTACTTTGAACTTATTAAATTCCAACAAATCATTCCTACTCACACTTTTTGAGTGTAAATATTAAATGTAAAACTAGACTTACCCTCTCTTGGTTCTGGCTCTTTCCCGCGGAACCTTGCATAGGGCCTCACATCCACCACCTGGAACTCCTGGCTGGCAATATTATTTGTGATGTCCTCAAATGACCTCACCCAGGAGCGGTGTTTTACAGTGGCGGTGAAGCGGGCTGGTTCAGGCCGGGTGTAAGTCCCTGTGACTGGATGACCCTCTCTGACCCAGTTCCTAAAACCCCCGTTCAGCACAGACACCTGTGGGTGGCCAAAAAACCGGAACATCCACCAAACCCTGGTGCAGGTAAATGCCCCAAAGTCACTGGCGTCGTAAACAACGACGTGGCTGTCATTTCCAATGCCCAAATTCCCAACGTAATCGGCGAAAAACTTCTCGGTCGGGAGCATATGATCGAACTTGGATGTCCTGTCCGAGCACTCGTCGATGTCGAAAAACGAGGCCCCTGGGATGTGAGACTGTGCAAATTCCTTCTTGCCGTCTCGATTCATCATCGGTAGGTACCAGGACGTGTCCAGGACCCGCAAACGCGGTCCCACAAGATTGCGTTTGACCATGTTTGCAAGCCATTTTGCAGACACAAGAGGTTGAGTTTGCACTCCCATGTTCACACCAGGGTGAAGTGCAGCTATCCTCATTCAACCTCTGCCTTCTCCAGCCTGCTTGATGTATGCGTGGTAAACAACTAATTGGTGCATTACCTCCACCAACTGGACTGGAGTGGATAAAATAATAGTAATACAACAATCATATAAAAGAGAAATAGAAACTGAATATATTAATATAAGTTGATTTCTGCAAGGCTGGACAGTGAAACATATGATGTAATATTTTCATGTTTATACAAATAACACTTTCCTGTATTATGTTTGTTTTTTTAGTCCAGTATGACCAACTCTTAACCCAGACATTATCTTGTTTCTTCTTAACCCCAGCTCTCTCCTCTTCTCAGTGCATTGTATTCAGTGCAATTTCCATGTAATTACACTCTGCAGAAAGAATTCAGGAAGACATTTTACAGACTAAATAGATACTCTCTGAGGCACTCTGTTAACCAAACCACAGCGTATCGAATGAAACATGTTATAAAATTGTAATATTTTAATTGCAAATGTGTCCACAGACAACCACAATATCCCTGGCCAGCAGAAACCCCAGGCAGCATTGCCTAGGTCAGGCCTTACACTGTATGGGCGCAGCTTTTGATCCATGCAGAAGGAGAGGCAACACCCAGCACCCAAGAAGGAAACAGAGGGAGACTGAACCTGGATGCAGTAAGGACAAGCGCATCTCTCCTACTGCAGCACATGCAGACGAACAGTTTTTAAAATGTCACCAGGCAATGTATTTGAGTGCAAAGAAACATGGTCTAATAGGCCTTTTTGATGGAAAACATTTTGACACGTCACAGTAGGAAAAACTTGTATAAATAATAAAATGAATGATGACTGAATTCCATTTAGCTGCTTCAGTTTGGGGGTCCTGGCATTGTGCATGCTGGCTCACTGTCACACTGTCATCACTTACTGGGACACTTGAACAGAACAGATTCATTGTTAATGTACTAGTAGTATTTTGTATATTGAGATATTTAATATGTTTTAGGGGGAGTGCTATCCAAAATCGTGATGGTGAAAAAATACCTTCAGTTGGGAGAGATTTGTTTAGTGAACATTAAACTTTAATTTCCTGATAAATGTAGGGGAAAGGTGTCTAATAGGACATATTTATTGGTTTTAGAAAGTGGGAAACCTACACGTTTTAAGAGTTATAACCAATGTATTAAGTTATTAGATTTCATTGTTATTCTTTTTTTTTTTAAAGTATTTTTTGGGGCTTTTTATTGCCTTTATGATAGTGACAGCTGAAGACACGCAGCAAAGGGCCGCAGGTCGGATTCGAACCCTGGGCCGCTGCAGCAAGCCTCGGTACATGGGTCGCCAGCAACCGGGCGCCCTCATTGTTATTTTTAATATTACTGTTAATATTTCACAAAATTCATGTCCTCATATCATTGGTTGTGGAGATCTTTACCTCTGAAACCTCTCACGTCATATAGGACTAGGCAGTAAATGTAAAATATTATTTACATCATCTAAGCCATTTAATTGTATTATTACGGCATATCAACCACCATATGATACACATAATTTGAATAAAAAAAAAAAATAAGGGGAAAGAGAATATGCATAAAAGAAGATAATCTGCCTAAATCTTACGATCTCACAATACACCTCAGTTAATACATGAGGCTCTAATGGTCTTTACACCATAAACAAGTTACATATCATTTTGTTTGTTTATTAGCAGTGAGCTCTGGAATCTAAGAAAAGATGTGATATTATAAGGGCAGGCGGTATCGTTGTGTTATTAATACTTCTAGTAAATATAACATATAAGGAGATATAAGTACTGCAACATCAGAACATCAGAGGTCTTAATAATGGGAATTACAGAGGCACCACAGTTACATGAAGAGGCTTTTAGAACAGTTTTTTGAAAGTTAAAGCTTTCTAGAGACATCTTGTAAAATTGACTCCATATAGCAATGACAATTATTTGATTAAGCAATTGATTTTATTGACAATTTCATAAGAGTACCACCAACATAGCGAACAAACACAATATATCAATTAATGGGGATCAATATTTAATA